CACAGCTTCTCTATCCATTCGTTTGTTGATGGGCACTTAGGTTGTTTCCAACTCCTTGCTATTGTGAACAAAATCGCGATATACATGGGTGTGTGCTTTCCCTCTTTTTAAACCTAGGGAGCTCTGGTGGAATACTGGCAAGAAACGGGGTACTGCAATCCCAAAGTCTCACAGTTCAAATCCACCAGCTGTTCGGCAGGAGAAGTATATGGACAATCTCCTCCCATGTAATTAACTGCCTCTAGTTTTCAGGTATGGATTGGTTCCTATTTGACAGCACACAACAACAACAAAACCCTTCATAGTGCCCTTTGTCTGTTCCGACAGATTACCCTTAGTTGTCTAGGACGGGGGAGATTTTAGCATCCTCTCCCTTTGAGACTGCCTAAATTTTCCACAAGCTGATTTCCTTCATGGGTGCTCTGTGACAGAGGTGTTCAGTGAAGCCTTCTTAAATTCATGGGCTTGGCTGTCCTGACCAAGGAAGCTCCTCTTTCAACACAGGGTGTAGGCTCAGATGTCCTTAAAGGGCTCCCCACCTTTATGCAATCACATACCAGTGTCCTAGGGTTTTTTTGGGTCAAATCCACATGATCCGCCCCCTTCAGAGAAACTCCTTCCTTTGTTACCTTACTCTGCACCCACTGTCCTCTCCAGCCAGGCATCCTGCCTCATAGGACCCTTAGCCATGGTAGTGGCAGCAGAGAAACAACAGGCAAATGAGCAGTTGAAACAACAAGAGGCAGCCTAAAAGCACAGTGAAGCAAGACTGGGAAAGCAGAAGTCCACACACCCATACACACCTGTGTCCACAGATGCCTGTGTCTAACTCATTGAGTCGATTCATAGCAGACTTTCAGAGGTTGTATATTGTACAGGAGGAGACTGGACATCTTTCTCCGGAAAAGCAGCTGGTAGATCCAAACCACCTGCTTTGGGATTGGTAGCACAACTCTTTATTCACTAGGCCACAAGAGCTTCCAGCATGTGTCTAAAGCTGTATGAAAATGTATTTAACTGTTAAAACAGGAATTAAAAAAAAACTATTAACTGTGAGAAACTGGTGGCCAAGTGGTAAGAAGCTGTGCTAGAATGCCAAGAGTATGTGGTTCAAAGCCACTAGATGATCAGTGGCATAGGCAATCTCTTCCCATGAGATTAACTGCCTCCAAAAACCTGCTGGAGGTCTGCTATGGCTCTGTTCCAACTCTACTGCAAACAACAACACAGATTATTCATCAGAAAAAAAATGAATCCTAGTGGTACAGAGGTTAAAATACTCAGCTGTTAATCAAAAGGTTAGATGTGGGAATCCACCAGCTGCTCCACAGAGGAAAGATATTATCAGTCTATTTCCATAAAGACTATGGTTTTGGAAATCCTATGAGACAATTCTCGTGGCCTACAGGGTCACTATGAGTCACAATCAACTGGACAGCAATGGTGTTTGGTTTTGATTCATCAGTGTCCTTGAGTAGAGCAAACTTTTAAGTGTTTGGCTACTAACCAAAACATTGGCAGTTCGAATCCACCCAGAGACATCTTGAAAACCAGATCTGTCAACTTGTTTCTGAAAATTATAGTCTTAAAAATGCTATTAAAAAAAAGCTATGAGTAGTTATAGACTACACACACACACACACACACACACACACACACACACACACAGAGTCACTATGCGTTGGAATTTATAACAATTAACAACAAAACTATCCATCATCCTGAGGTGGTTGTTATGTACTGATGAAATAAAAACCCAGCCTTATACAGAAAAGGGGCTTTGGTCATGCAGTCTGCAGGACACTGCGTTGCTAACTCTGACCGGCGGCTCCTTGAAAGAAAGCTAGGCATTCTCTTCCTGGGTGATTTATAGCCTCAGAAACCTGCTGGAGAGTCAGCCATGAGTTGGTTCTGACTAGATGCCAACACGTTAATTTATCCAGGGAGATCAATATTTTATTCACTTGCGGGAGTAATGGAAAGAACACTGACTGGAACTAGAGTCAGAGGACCTGGCCAGAGACCTGACCCTCCAGCCCTCAAGAGCTGGGATACCTTTACACAATTACTCAATCTCCCAGGACCTCCACGTCCTCCCCTGCACAGCTCAAGCAGTGGATCCCAGTAAAGAAGGATAAGCCAAGGGAGGTGAAACACATGCAAGCTATTTACAAATAATGGAGCTCAAGGTCACCTGGCCAACTGGACAGAGTTTCATGCAAGAGAATCCGTCTCCAGATATCAGTTTCTTCAATAATTTTTGCCTGGTGTTCTTAGTGAGACTAGTACATCTGCGTTCTTCATGTCAAGAAGACACCTGGACCTGAGCAATAGCCAGGGCAGGGCAGGAAATTGTCCCATTTACTATCTGCCTAGCCCAATCCCTGTTTCCAAGGCGATGTAAACATCTTTAGAAAGTTAACTAGCCTCAGGTCGCTGTGATTTCCAGACTCAGGGAGCCCATCCAAACAGAGAGGAGTTCTCAAGGGAGTGGCTGGTCCCTCACACACAGGAGTGGATTGCCCAATAAGGATGGTAAACACAAGCTATCTCATGTCTACTTACTAATCTGTAATGAACAATTTTTTTTCACCACACCAGAGATTCTGCTCCTAGGTTGGCATCTTTCTCCCAACCCTTCCTACAGAACCAAAGCCTCTTTTCAAATACAATCCCCCACAAGGACGCAGTACCCAGTAAACAAGGTAAGCACGGGTTTCCTCGGGCTTCATTTCTAATGTGTTACGAAGTTTCAGGTTTTTATCATATCGAGGATGTTAGGCAGGGCAGGCCCTGTCGCGTGGGCCACAGTAGATGGGTGCACACAGAGACTGCAAGCAAGGCCAGCCTCCCTGCCTTAGCTCAAGCTCAAATAAAGTCCGGGTTTGCCCCTGCTTCGGATTCCACCCGACAACCTTGAGACTGTCCTCCCCACCTCCTCCAGCGAAATGAGCTAGCTCATGATCTCCAGCTTCCTCCGGGGGCCCATATGCACTCATCCGGTGGGGGAAGGGGGGCACTGGAAGCACAACCCTGTGCCCCTATTGTGTAAGACGCTCCTAGGTACAAATGGACAAGCCGATACCCCATCCCCCACAGCCTTTCCCTAACCGCAAGAAGAGCAAAAGAGTGTATTTATTTGCTCTTCCGTTTAACACCTTGTTCTTCTTTTTTTATTTATTTTTTATTTTTTAAAAAGACCCGAACAAGAATAGATTATCTAGTATGTCCTTCCACTCTGAGAACTGGGAATCCCCTAAGTGGAACAAACCAACGTCTCGCGTCTCCAGAGACCTGGTTACCTGCCCTCTCTGCCTTTTGATGGCTTCGGTTAGCTTGACATGACCGCCCAGATAATCACCCCGAATGATGAGGACAAACGGAACCCCTAGAGTGCGAGTCGGAAGGGCTGGGACATCCAGGGCGGGGCGGAGCCCAAAGAAGGCGAGAGGGGAAGTGGTCCGGACCACCGCTCGGGGAAGGAAGGGGCCCGGAGCGTCGCGATGCTCCCAGTGCTCGCCCAAGAGGCCGGCGCAGCCTCGGTGCCGCCGCCCTCCGGATGCGGGCGGAGGCCGCAAGGAGCCGAGCTCCGTGAAGCCGCCGACTTCGGCACCATCCGCTAAGCGCATCTTGGGCGCGCAGGCGGGGGTCGCGGGGAAGGAAGGGGAGGGAACAGGTCCGGCCAGGAGCGAGCACTCAGCCTCTGCAGCGCGGCCCCACCCTCCCGGAGCTTCAGGGAGGGGTCTGGCCAGCCAGAGAGGCGTGGAGCCAGTAGGGCGGGGGCCGCAGGGACCCCGGGCGGGCGGGCGTGGTGGGAGCAGGCCGAGGTCATTGGTTCGGCGTTCCTTGCTACGGCGCCACGCGGGCCCGATCGCTTACCGGCAGATCTGAATGGCAGACGGGGCCTCGGTGGCAGAGCCCGACATGCTGGCAGCGGCGGTGGCGGCGGCGGCAGTGGTGATGGCTGGCGGATGCAGGAGAGCGCAGGTGTCTGGCAGGACCCGCGCGGAATGAATGAGCCCGGGCGGCGCCATGGAAGGAGGGGGAGGAGGCGGAGTCATGGAGTCGGCGAGGCGGGGCCTACGCGCCGCGGGCGAATCGAGAGCCGCCTCGCGTCTCCGGCTCCGACCCCCATCCGGCCCCGCTCCTCGCAGGCCCCGCCCCCCGGCCCTCCAAGGCCGCCGCTGGCCTCTGCGGGCACCCAGCTCGGGCGCCGGCGAGTGTCGCGGCAGATCGCCGCTTCCAGAAGGTTCGGAGGCCGTTGGAGCGCCCCGGCGCGAGGCCGAACTCTTGGGCTGCTACGAGCGCGGCCTCAGCCGGCTGCGACTGGACCTTGTTGGCCTTAAGGAAACCGGGCGTCCGGGTCCTGGGTAGCCGCCGCCTCTCTACGAGCGAGCCGAGGCGCCGGGATTCTACCTCATCGGGCGCCGCAGTTAATATTTGTTCTGGGCGGGCCCGGCCAGCGAGGGTGGAGACGCCGCTTCCAGCACCTTATGAAGAATAGTGCGTTTGGGGTCAAATGTGAAAGGCCTTCCTCCTCTGCACAGGCTCCGCCGGTCGAAAGGCCATGTGCACCAAGGGGACCCCGGACGCCCTCACCCATTGTTTTCTCCTAAATCAGCCGTAACAGAAAATTGAAGAATATGTCCCCGAAACGAGCATGAATACAGAACTGCTGTGTCACCGCCCGAAAGAGAAGGCTGTGGGCACGAAGAACGGAAATAATGGGCTGGTTGGGCCGCCCGGATCGCCGCGGCAGAGGCACAAAGCATCACGAGGTGTCTGCCCGCGGCGCGCCGCTGTCCACCCCGCCTGCCTCCGCCGCCTCCCCGGGGGTTACAAATCCACACAAGAGCAGCATCTCCACGTGTAGGAATTAGAGTTGCTTTTCCCACCTTGTACACCTTTGGGCATTTCCTAGATTTTCTACAATGAACATGAATTCCTTTTGTATTCAGATTAAATAATAATAATGATCATTAAGCCTAGAACTAATTTCAAGCACTGGCCTCCCCTGGTCCTTCCAATCTCAGTACACCATGGAGCGCAGCCCACACCACGATCTGTAATTCATGTTAGGGGGAAGCCCAAGTCTTCATGTCTGCTTGTTTTCATAAGACGTTTTCTATGGTGAATTAGATTGTAGCCACCAAACCTACTTTATGTCCCTCTTCCCGACAGGGTAAAAGGAGCCCTGCAGACAGTCTGCAGATAAAAATCCACCAGCGATTTCTCAAGAGAAAGATGAAACAGCCACAGAAACCTAATGGACTGATGGCATGAGTTAGAATTAACTTGAAGGCAGTGGGTTTTCTTTCCTGTCAGGAATCCATACAGGGCTAGTACAGGTTTAGTGTGTAATGTGTGGAACTGCTGACTAAATATCAGCGGTTCAAATCCACCAGCTGCTTAGCTGGAGAATGATGGAGTCTCTTCCTATGAAGATTTACAGCCTCTGAAACCTGATTGGAAGGATCCCCAATCAACTCCACAGCAGTGAGTTTGTTATTTTGGTAGTAAGAATCCCTAGGAGATACAAGTGTTTAAACGCTGCACTACTTGCTGAAAGGTTGGCGGTTTGGTCTTGTTCATTCCTGTTTGACAGCCTGCTGAAAATTTGCGTTTCCACCCTACATGTGTTAACCAAATCAGAACCTACATTTTAACAAATTCCCAGCAGAGAGAAGGAATTATTTATTCAAAGGCCCTGGCTGTGGACCCACCGGAAGGTGTCTCAGAAGACAGATCTGGAGACCTGTTCCTGAAGGGTCAAAGCCTCTCAAAGACTGTGAACCAGTTCTAATCTCCTTTGACGTCCTTTTAAGTCTATAGCAATAACTTCTCAACAGAGGCCCATATGCAAACAAGTTTCTTAGGATTCAAGGTGCTTTCCTTACCTATAAAAAGGCCAAAATCACCTACAACCAGGTTGTTGTTGTTGTTGTTGTTGTTGTTGTTGTTGTTGTTGTTGTTGTGTGCCATCGAGTCGCTTGCGACTCATAGCGACCCTATGTACAAGAGCCCTAAATGCTGTTCTATCCTGTGCCAACCTAGCCATCTCAAATGCACTTATTCCCACCGCTCCAGTCAGAATCAATCCATCTCACCAAAGGTCTTCCTCTCTTTCTCTTCCCCTCCACTCTGCCAAACATGATGTCCCTTTCCAAGGACCAGTCCGTCCTTGCAACATGCCCAAAATATGTCAGACGAAGCCTCAGAATCCTTGACTCCAGGGAACACTCTGCCTTCACCCTCTCCAGGACAAACCTGTTTGTTCTCCTAGCAGTCCATGGTATATTCAACACTCTTCTCCAGCACCAGAGCTCAAAGGCATCA